CCGGGCACCCGTTCGCTGCCCCGATGAGCTCAGCGGAGAGGATCGGGTCGGGATCGTGGGACCAGTGCTCGAGGGCCGACCCGCTCTCTCCGATGACCCGGTGGAAGAGGCCTGCGCGGAGGGGAAAGGGGAGAGTGAGAGGAGATGGAGGGGAAGGAGAAGGAGAAGGAGAAGAAGGGAGAAGGGGGAGAGTGAGAGGTGATGGAGGGGAAGGAGAAGGAGAAGGAGAAGGAGAAGGAGAAGAAGGGAGAAGGGGGAGAGTGAGAGGTGATGGAGGGGAAGGAGAAGGAGAAGGAGAAGAATGGAGAAGGGGAAAGTGAGAGGTGATGAAGGAGAAGGAGAAGGAGAAGAATGGAGAAGGGGAAAGTGAGAGGTGATGGAGGGGAAGGAGAAGGAGAAGAATGGAGAAGGGGAAAGTGGGAGGAGATGAAGGGGAAGGAGAAGGAAAAGAGGTGAAGGAGACGGAGAAGGAGAAGAAGGGAAAAGGGGAAAATGACAGGAAATGGAGGTGAAGGAAAAAGAGAAGGAGAAGAGGTGAAGGTGAAGGAGAAGGAGAAGAATGGAAAAGGGGAGAGTGAGAGGAGATGGAGGCGAAGAAGAAGAAGAAGGAGACGAAGAAGAAGGAGAAGAAGAAGGGAAAAGGGGGAAAGTGAGAGAAGAGAAGATGGAGATGAAGAAGACGGAGAAGAAGAAGAAGAAGGAAGTAAAGAAGATACCTCTCTTCACACCCTACTTATCACGTCTTAGTCACCTCCCTATCCGTCTAATTACTCCCTCATTCTCCACTCACACCTCATAAACACATAACCTCACTTGTGTCATTTTCATTAAACTCCCTCTCTCTCTCTCTCTCTCTCTCTCTCTCTCTCTCTCTCTCTCTCTCTCTCTCTCTCTCTCTCTCTCTCTCTCTCCCTCTCTCTCTCTCTCTCTCTCTCTCTCTCTCTCTCTCTCTTTCTCTCTCTCTCTCTCTCTCTCTCTCTCTCTCTCTCTCTCTCTCTCTCTCTCTCTCTCTCTCTCTCTCTCTCTCTCTTTCTCTCACTCTCTCTCTCTCTCTCTCTCTCTCTCTCTCTCTCTCTCTCTCTCTCTCTCTCTCTCTCTCTCTCTCTCTCTCTCTCTCTCTCTCTCTCTTTATTCAATCTCATTCATCCACCTCATTCACTATATACTCTCCACATCTATTAAACTCACACACTCATGTCATTAATCACTTTTATTTACTCACGTTCACTCACGACGCCTCATAATTGGCCTCTGTAATAACACTTACACATACTCACCCAAGCAAAGGTCGTTCAGCCTTCACACTTCACTCAAAACCCACACCCCACTCACACCCACACCTCACTCACCCCCACATCCCACTCACACCCACACCTCACTCACCCCCACACCCCACTCACACCCACACCTCACTCACCCCCACACCCCACTCACCCCCACACCTCACTCACCCCCACACCCCACTCACCCCCACACCTCACTCACCCCCACACCCCACTCACACCCACACCTCACTCACCCCCACACCCCACTCACACACACACCTCACTCACACCCACACCCCACTCACCCCCACACCTCACTCACCCCCACACCCCACTCACCCCCACACCTCACTCACCCTCACACCCCACTCACACACACACCTCACTCACCCCCACACCCCACTCACACCCACACCTCACTCACCCCCACATCCCACTCACACCCACACCTCACTCACCCCCACACCCCACTCACACCCACACCTCACTCACCCCCACACCCCACTCACCCCCACACCTCACTCACCCCCACACCCCACTCACCCCCACACCTCACTCACCCCCACACCCCACTCACACCCACACCTCACTCACCCCCACACCCCACTCACACACACACCTCACTCACACCCACACCCCACTCACCCCCCACACCTCACTCACCCCCACACCCCACTCACCCCCACACCTCACTCACCCTCACACCCCACTCACACACACACCTCACTCACCCCCACACCCCACTCACACCCACACCTCACTCAAACCCACACACCCCATTCACCCCCACACGCGCTCACCCCCAATCCCCATTCACCCCCACACCCACTCACCCCCACACCCCACTCACCCCCACACACCCCACTCACCCCCACATCCCACTCACACCCCCACACCCCACTCACCCCCACACACCCCACTCACCCCCACACCCCACTCACCCCACACCCCACTCACCCCCCCCCACCCCACTCACCCCCACACCCCACTCACCCCCACACCCCACTCACCCCCACACCCACTCACCCCCACACGCGCTCACCCCCACACCCCACTCACCCCCACACCCCACTCACCCCCACACCCCACTCACCCCCACACAACACACCCTACTCACCCCCACACCCCACTCACCCCCACACCCCACTCACCCCCACACCCCACTCACCCCCACACCCCACTCACCCCCACACCCCACTCACCCCCACACCCCACTCACCCCCACACCCCACTCACCCCCACACCCTACTCACCCCCACACACCCCACTCACCCCCACACCCCACACCCCACTCACCCCTACACCCCACTCACCCCCACACCCCACTCACCCCCACACCCCACACCCCACTCACCCCCACACCCCACTCACCCCCACACCCCACTCACCCCCACACCCCACTCACCCCCACACCCCCTCACCCCCACACGCGCTCACCCCCAATCCCCACTCACCCTACTCACCCCCAATCCCCACTCACCCCCACACCCACACACCCCACTCACCCCCACACCCCACACCCCACTCACCCCTACACCCCACTCACCCCCACACCCCACTCACCCCCACACCCCACACCCCACTCACCCCCACACCCCACTCACCCCCACACCCCACTCACCCCCACACCCCCTCACCCCCACACGCGCTCACCCCCAATCCCCACTCACCCTACTCACCCCCAATCCCCACTCACCCCCACACCCACACACCCCACTCACCCCCACACCCCACTCACCCCACTCACCCCCACACCCCACACCCCACTCACCCCCACACCCCACACCCCACTCACCCCACTTACCCCCACACCCCACTCACCCCGAGATTCCGGCAGAAGAAGATGGTAATTCACTGACGCAGAACCGGCACTTTCGCCAAAGATTGTCACGCGGTTCTTGTCTCCCCCAAAGCCTTCGATGTTGTCACGAATCTGAGGAAGGAGAGGGGGGGAAAAGTGATAAAGATGGGTAGAGGAGAGAGTGAGGGAAAGAGGAGAGAGAGAAAAAAGGCAGGTGTATTAAGAGGGAGGGAGGGGAGAGGTGGGAAGAGTAGGGAGGGGAGGGGAGGGGAGGGAGATAGATAGAGAGAGAGAGAGAGAGAGAGAGAGAGAGAGAGAGAGAGAGAGAGAGAGAGAGAGAGAGAGAGAGAGAGAGAGAGAGAGAGGCAGAGACACAGACTTACCCATTTCATAGCTTCAATCTGGTCCCACAGCGCTGCATTTCCCGGAGCCTCTTCGGTATTCAGGCAGAAGAAACCTAGAAAAGGATATTTGAAAAAAAAAATAGTTTGATGAAATAATATATTATAAACAAATGAAAATCTTAAACGAAATACAGAGTCATTTTTGAAGGTCCACGAAAACAAATCGCATTATTTAATACATCCTTTCTTTTCTCTTTTTTTCATTTATATAAAAAAAGACCCAATTTGTACAGACTTATCTATAGTTCGAAAAAAATACTCTAATAATGTTCTTCAAAGGCAATCAGAAACCTGAGTCCCTTTAACTCACCTTAAAAGACAGAATAAAATATATAAAAAAAAAATAAAGATAAATAAAAGAAATCGAGTAATGGTTTTCATTCCCATCCTCGTGTTGACATCAATAACAACATCCTAGAGTAAGAAACATCACCTAAATAGTTATCATTTCCTCTAAGTGTGATCTTAACCTAATTTTTAAAAATTTTCTTTACCTTTAGGAATATTTCTTTTTTTTTTTCTTTTTCATAGGGAACCTCACCTACACATACCGTAATCAAGTGTTCAGGAGTGAAGAGAACCCGGGTCTTGGAAATTCAACTAGTATCTTCTTCCTGTCTCGGTGTGAAATGTTCTATCACTTAAATACCTAATCTAAAGGAGATCTGAGACTCACCTAGACTCACCTAGACTCACTCGACTCCACCTAAACACGTCAACGGTTCCTCCCCCCTACTTTCCAGAACCTACAAAACCAAAACTTGAAACTCACCTGATACAACCCTCCAGTAACGCCTTGAAACTCACCTAAAACAACCCTAACGTAACGCCTTGAAACTCACCTAAAACAACCCTTCAGTAACGCCTTGAAACTCACCTGAAACAACCCTAACGTAACCCCCTGAAACTCACCTAAAACAACCCTACAGTAACGCCTTGAAACTCACCTAAAACAACCCTACAGTAACGCCTTGAAACTCACCTAAGGTTCCCAACCGGTAGTGGATGACGACGAGGATTACATCTTTGTCGAGGAGTTTGGTGGGCATGTACAGAGAGGAGTCGCCGGAGATGAAGGCTCCTCCGTGGATGAACATCATGACAGGCAAAGGGTCTGCGTTCTCTCCGGGGAGCTGGAGGGGGAGTGAGAGGCAAGGGGGTGATGAGGGGGAAAGAGGAGGAGGAGGGGGGAAGAGAGGAGGAGGAGGGGGAAAGGGAGGAAGAGGAGAGGGAGGAGAGACTAGGGAGAAATTGTTCAACTCCGTTTCTGTCTTTTTTTATGTGTGTCTATCTGGCTCTCTCTTTCTGTTTTCTCTCTCTTGCTCTTTTTTTTATCTTACTCTTTCTCATTCTTTCTTTCTCTTATCTATCTATCTCTCATCCTCTTGCTCTCTCTCTCTGTCTATCTCTATATCTATCTATCTATCTATCTATCTATCTCCTCTTTCTTTATTTATTTCTCTCTATCTATCTATCTCTCGCTCTCTCTCTTTCTCTCTCTCTCTCCCTCTATCTCTCTATCTATCTCCT